ACACAAATGGTATGTGGAAAACTATTCCATACCCAGTTATCCAAGTAAATTAATATAACTTTATGTTGTCTTTGCTACACCTAAAAAAATTGCGCATGAGCGCGTGCACGCGCGCGCGCGCGCACACACACACACACACACACACACACTTGGCCATACACCCCACCACCCAAACTAAATATGTGGAAAAACTACTCCATACCCAATTCTTCAATTAAATTAACATCAACTTATGTTATTGTTTTTGCTACATCTCCCAGCACCCTCATGGTGGCTTACAAATGCCTGCAACTCCAGTTCTAGAGGATCCAATGCCCTCTTTTGGCCTCTGTGTTCACTGCATAAATATGGTGCACAGACAAAACACCCATATTTTCCAAACTATGAATGTGTGTGATACGGGGCTGATGTATAAACACATTCTTCTGTCATTTTCCTGGTGAAATATCTACACAAGTTTAGCCATGTCTTTAGTATCCAGGTGAATCCAGTGGCCTTAACACTTCTACCTCAGTTATTTTGAATAGATATGTTAATGTATTGACTATGTGTAATGTATGTTATGTAATTAATAAAATGCCATGCGCTTTTGAGATTACCGAGAATCTGGCTCTGAAAATGGGTTGTTTCTCATTTCAGACTCAAGCATGTTTGTTTCCAAGTGTTCTTCTACAGCATCTTGTCTGAGGATGGGCTCGACCTCCCTGAGCCTGTAACAGGAAAGAGTACAGCAGAACAGCCCAAGTAAAAACACAGTGTCCTTGAGAACAGCTAGAAGGTAAACAATTTTCAACAGATCTACTATTGCTTAACCAAAGATACAAAAAGTGCCTGCAATAAGAGAAAGAATCCGTAAGTTCAGCCATGGGAGTTCAGCCATGGACAGAAAGCTTATTCAAAACCTTCAGCTGACCACCTCATCGTTTTCAGTTGGTTTCTTAATGGATGCTGTAAGCTCCTGATTTAATGATGTTATCTCTACCTGTTCTTATTTGTTCTTTTACTTGAAAGCCTCACCTGAGAGAGGGGGTACACTGCTCTACCACAGACTCTCAATTGGGTGTTCTCTGCATTGAGAACTCCAGTCAATTGCCCCAAGAGCACTTACTGGATCAGTTTCTGCTATTTTGGGTGTCTGATTTGATGATATTTTCTATCTGTCTGTATGTCTGATATTGCTATTTATTCTTTTACTTCAGCTTGCTGTATGTAATTAATAATTTCATTAATTTGAAACCAAAAATATAACAGATCATTCTCCAGACCATATAGCAAACTATAGCTTAGAGTAATTTCTTTTGAGATGGGATTTTGAGTAGTTCAGTCTGGGCTTAAAACTACTGTTTCCCAGATGATCTTGAACTTGAGATCCTCCTGCCTTTGCTTCCTGAGTGCTGGCATTGTTGGTACTACCCAATATTTTTAGTAGAATTTTGAAGTTCCTCAAAGACTTTCTCATAAGGCTTGACATCACCATGATATACTGTACAGAGCAAACTGCTATTAGGAAAGGCAATCTGCCAAAGGCCCTGAGTGTCCTTGTATATTCTTACTGCATATGCCAAGAATGTAGGATCCTGAGCACTCTTTACCCAGGCAGATAATTTTTCAGTTGTGCTTACAGTAAGCAACCTTGAAGTATGAGGTAACATCTTCCCTTGGACTCAGAAGAGGTTTATGATTTCTTTGAAAACAGTCAATTTCCCCAGTTCCAGTACATATTTAAGCATCTATCATGGGTCCTTTGTCATCCCATGAGATTTGGGGATCAGAGAGACTCCAAATCAGCATAGAGTTCTAGTTAATGATTTTCTGTAATAATGTCCTTAGTCTCTGATCCAGCAGTTTAGTTTCTTCTGGCAACATCTCACTGAAAAACAGCAGGATAACTTGTTAGTTTATGGGTAGGATATAACCTTAGACTTGGTACAGTTCCTGACAGGTGCTTGCAGAGACTATTCACAAAGCAATTATGCTTTGGAAATTGTTTCCTACCAGTGAAATTTTTAGCATGTCTGTGTACAACCAAGGCCATTAACACTGTGTTCTACTTAACATTTTTCTTCTGACCAACTTTCCTATATTATTTGAATAGTTTTTTCCAGAAAGGAAAGTGTATAACATGACCCTAGACCTGAATTATCTTCATATACTTTAAACCACAAGTATTTAATGCATGTTCAAGTAAATTCAAGGGCATTACAAATCTATACAACTGTCTAAAATTTATACATACTGTCTAAAAATCACCTTCCTCTTCTACCAGGTCCTTCTCCCTCAACATAAGTTATCTGGTTACATCTGAAGCTGTTGTGCCTGGGACCAAGATTCCCGCAACCGATGTTTCCATTTAGTGAAGTCTGAGCTAGTGATTTGTTTCTTTTGAAAAGCGCCTTTAAGTTCCCCTGATTAAAGAAGGAAGTCTAGTATTTTGATTTTCACTGAGGGAAAACTGCCCTCTGTTAGATAAGTAAGTTTGCCCACGGCAACCCAGCTATCATCCTTACTCTATGCCTGCTGCAGGTTGGAACAGAGAAATCAAAGGAGGGTGAACCTAGGGAAGAGTGTGCTGTGGGTAAGCCATTCCACCTCCTGCTCCAGTGACCACCTTGAGAGCTACAGAAAACTCCAAAGACTTCTCTCTGTAAAGTTGGCACTGTGCATCCCTGGATTTTCACCCTACTCCAGCTAGAATTCCAGCCTCATCATCTGTCCAGCTGCCATAACCTTGAAGAAAAAAGAAGAGCCCCAAAAGGGAGCATCATAAAGGACAGATTACATACAGGTGGCATATAACCATTACACTTTCTTCCAAGCCAGAGGAGGGGACAGCCCCAGATCTGACTTCAGCCTCCCTATAAAATTTACACAAGTTTTGGGGTACTTGCTGATCCTGCTGAAAAAAAAATGACTCCCTATAAGGAAGCTGACTCAGTAAGACCAGATGGTATCATCACATCCAGGGCAGGAATACTTATGAAAGCCCACGTGTTATTCAGACTTAGGTGTTCACTCACTCTCAGATGAGCCCATGCTATCTGAGCCTTATAAAAGGAGGATCCCAAAGCAGCCAAGGCATAGCCATAGCACTCTGTGACCCAAGTAGCACTGCCTAAGTGTCTATCAAAATGGAAGACACAGACAAAATTTCCATAATTTTTGATGTTTGCAGATTTGGTCCACCAAATCTGCAGTGTTTTGGGCTTTGGTACTTGAGAATTTTACAAAGCACCAGGGAACTAATATTTTCAGAATGCAGGAGAGGGGCTGGAATACCATGTTAAGTGTCATAAAGCTAGGTGGGAGTCTAGACAGATATAGTGGGGTAGGTAGCACTGGCCCAACAGTTGCAGTTTGTTCTCAAGCACAGTATGAGAATTACTTTCTCTATGTTTCCAAACAGCAGGGACAAATCTCCAGCATTTGGATCCTGTGTGAGAAATGATGGTTAAAAACCCCGTCAAACAGCTCTCAGTACCTTATTTGACCACCAAAAATTTATTACAAGATTGTTATGCTTATTACTGTCGATGACAATAGGTGTAAATTTTAATCACCTTTTAACTCAGTGGTTCTAATATTTTGTCAGTGAATAACAAGGGCCCCAGTATTTTAGAAATTGATAAGAACTGTTGGATGCTTACTTTTAGTTATAAAACCTTTATTATTTTTAGCAAGAATAATGCATGTTCATTTTAGGAATACGGCAAATACAAAGAAGCAGAAGAAAAATCATTCATCTTTCACAAGTTTATATGTGCATTTATGTAACATACAAAGGTACTCTTGTCTTTCAAAATATGATCTTCTCATATTATTTTGCAACCTTTTCTCACTTTGTATTCCATCAGAAGCTCTTTTTTTTAAACAAATCAGTAAAGCTCTTTCATCCAAAGCTAGAGACTTGTAGATTGATTCAAATATAATCAACAGTAAGATGCAGACAAGAAGAGATACAACCAAAACCACTAACAGCAACAGATTCAAATTAGGGAGATAGGCAAAGGTATATCAGAAAGTTGCTAATAAAAAGAAAGCTGTAATGCAATGGCAATACCAGGTAAAACAGAAACCAAGGCAAGCTACATTAAATACGGATAAGGATGGTTTCGATTAGCCTTCCAACGCATCACTATAAGTTTGTTTCTCACTCTCCTTATCTCATCTACTTCATCCACGTCTCTAAACATATCTTCACTGCTCAAATGCCTGTTGTGTATATCCTCTTTAAAATCCTGAAGAGACTGAATCAGCTTCTCCCTAAAAGTTTCTTCCGATTTTATCTCCTCTTCTGGTTCTTCCCCCTCCTCTGGCTTTTCCTCAGGCTTTGGCTCCTCCTCGGGCTTTGGCTCATCATTTTCTGGGTTTCCTTCCATCTTTTGGCAGGGTTTCATCTTGTGTGTGCTTCTCCTCCTTCTTTGCTTCTTCCTGCCTATTCGCGAATGCAATTATTTCTAGGAAGCAAGTAGGAGAAGGTAAGACTTGGTAAGTGTGCAGGTGCTGTACACAAAAGGTCTCCTCACCCTTTGCTTTCTCTCTGTCTCTCCGTGTCTCCCTTCTCTCTCCCTCCCTCTCTCCCCCCTCTGCCTTCCCTCCTTCCCTCTCTCTCTCTCCCTCTCCCCACCCCATTTTGGTCCAACAGTCCGCAGCAAATACCTTCCACCTGAGAAGCCCAGTCCGCAATCAGGTTTCCCTGTCCCCGCCCCTCTTACCTCCATTTTCCACCCCCTCCCCTCTCTAGTCCCTCCCTCAAGCATTTTTCCAAGGCCTTCATTCCCGCCTCCCACCCCAGCCCTCCACAAATCTTTCTCCCTTACAGGCACAGGCCTAACACAGGGCCCTTGGAGGGGCGGCGGGCGGCGGGCGGGGGTGGGGGTGGGGGTGGGGGTGGGGGCGTAGGTTGTTTAAGGGGGAAGGGAGAGGGAAGTGTGGCCTTCCACCTCTGCCTGCGTTCACCAACCCACACCCCAGGAGTCTGCTATAAAGTTCGCTTCACTTACCAGGTACTGATCTGGTCAGTTTCTTTCTCCCACTTATTTTAGCCTGGAGCGGTACAAAGAACAAACCTGCAGGCAACCGGAGAAGGGAGGGGATGTTGGGGGTGGGGCGAGCGAGCCCTCGGCGCTCAGCAGAGCAGCACTACAGATCCAGCTCATGGAGCTTTCCTTATTTAAGGTCTTGCTTATGGAAGTTTCCCACCCTTTGTTTCCCACAGGGTTCCTCCTTCCCACCACCCGAAAGTTAGCTTGTCTTTCTGGACAGGGGATATCGTTTCCCAACTGTCTGTAGATCCAAGCCGAGGTTTGGGAAGCCGAGCGGCTGTCAGAAAAGAGGTCCGAAATCTCAGACTATGGTTATTTTTGAGCCGTCATTGGTCTCCTTGCTTTTCTTTTTGGACCCCCACCCCCACCCCGGTTCCTTTCACGAGTGTCCTTTCCTGCGGAATTGAAGGTAAGGGGTGGAGGGACGGAGTTAACTAGAACTCAAGTCTCTATCCTAGACCACCCCACACTAGAAAAACCCAGGCAATACCCCCTCTGACACCAACCTGGAGAATTTTCAAGCAAGCTGTCCCCTCCTTCCGCTGGCTTCTTAAACCGCGACTGCGAGGCTGAAGGAAGCTGGTACCCAGATGGAAACAAGGACCAGACTAGCAGGATTTCTGCACACGTCGACTCCTGGTCACATGAGATCTACGTCACCAGTGAGCTCGGGTCCCCGATCTCCACCACTCCCACAAAAAGCGCGGCAGATGTGGGCCCGCCCTCTACTCCCTCACCTACCCCCTTCCCAAACACACACTTGGCCGTGTCAGTCTTTTCTGTAGGAAAAAAAGAAAGAAAGAAACGTGCGGGTTGTTTTTCTGCTTTTGCTGTTGTCTGATTACTAAAGAGGAGCATCTTATTTTCTGGAGCTACGAACTTTTCTGCTTCATTTAATAATTGACCCTTCCTGTCTTCCACTCCCAACCGCCAGAATCACTAACTCCCCAATCTATCTTTCCTTAGCTCCTCCCCCTTGAACTGAAATGTACTCCTTTGTTGTGTGGAGCCAGGTAGGCAGGCCACGAATTGGGACAAAAAAAAAGGATCTTGGAATAGGAGTGTGATTTCTTAGAGTCAATTTAAACTTTGTTCTTAATACTGCTGTAATCTTTTCAAAAAGAAATGTTGTTTTACAGTCAGAAGTAACAGCCACAGTATTTTAGATGAATACCTGAATTCATACATGTACATTGCTTAGACTAGGGCCTGGTACATAGTAAATGCTTTTTTTTTTTAAGTATATGCTTTTTAAATGTCTATTATTTTCTGATGTTATTTGGGGAGAATGACTTAAAATAAATCAAGTTAATGTTTGGCTCTAGAGCCCTGGTGGTGGTACTGTCAAGAATTATGTTGCCTGAAGAATCATTCCTTGGTCAATTATCATGTACATATTATTAGCATATGGTCTCCTCATTCTAAAGAAGGTGATGCAATACATATCATGAATTTTGGGGATGTCTTAGCACTGTGTTTTTACTGCTCCAAACCACTTTGCTATAAAAAACCTTCGACATTTACTCATTCCCATTTTATTTCACTTGAATATATGTATGTATGTATGTATGTATGTATGTATGTATGTATGTATGTATATACATCCTCTGAGAAGCAAGTACATTTGAGACCTCAATATGCAATAGCTTGAGTTTGCTGAGAACTGACAGGCGTGAGAATGGAGCTGTGGTTTGGTTATGATTTGGTTATGTTTCCCTTTAATGGGAGGGGTTCTGTCATTTCTTTATCTTTTAAATGACTTTAAAAGTCAAGTCACTAATTTTATGATGATAATGGTTGCTTGGGTTAGGGACTTGAAAACCCCTTTAGGTAAAAGAACTGGCTTTTCACTTGATTACACATGCCCTGTGGGTGTCTAAAATGTCTAGAAAAAAGTGTGGCATTGCTGCCTTCATGCTGTAGCCTCACCTTTGAGTCAGACTTGTGCTCAATTTTACATGTAGACATAGCAGTAATTTATGAAATGGGTTGTTCAGAACAATAATGCAAGGTTGTGTCGCTCTGTGTCATCTCACTCTTGAGCCTGACTAATGCAGAGTGCAATATCTATACCACAGTCTGAATGTTATGCTGCCTTGAAAATTCCTCCACCAAACAAATCAGTACATTATTTAAAAATTCAGCCTCACTCAGGTTCTAAGAAAACGGACAGGATGTAGTCGGATTATTTGTCAAGAGAAAGCATAAATGACCCTGAGTCTAGTTCCCAATGGAGTTCTTACTGTCCTCTGAAAGCTTGGGAGCGCTGGCTTTCCATTAGCCTTTGTATTGGCATTCCAAGCTTCTAAACTTATAGAAGAGCTACTACCCATTAAGTGTTTCTTATACCATGCTAAGGTTTCTCTAGCTCATGACTCCAAACTGTTCTGAATCCTTTCCAAAAGCCTACAAAATATGGCCAAGTACTCATAGCAACAACCCTACTTCTCTGTATCAATTTTCTGTATTAGTTACTTTTCTTGGTGCTAGGACTTCACAATAACCAACTTAAAGGATGAAGGGGTTTTCTGGACCAGTCCATTATGGAGGGGTAGTATTAATGGTTTGTCTCTAGCATCCAGCAAAAAGCACAGGAAGGGAAATGCCAGCAGTTAGCTAACTTACTCCTTTGTCTCTTTAATCTGTCTGAGATTCCAGCCTATACAATGGTGCTGCCTACATTCAGGCCCTGTAATCTTCCCTGGAAGCACTTTTAGAGACACATTCAAAGGTGAGCTTCACTCCTGACCCGGGCATCTATTAATCTAACCAAGTTCTCACTATCAACAGTCACACAGGCAATAGATACTCAGAACTGGATCAAAAAAAAAAAAAAAAAAAAAAAGAAAAAGAAAAAAAGAAAGAAAGAAAGAAAAGCAGTACCCCTGATACTGAGGACTGCAGAGGTGATAAAAGTAAATCCAAGTTATGGAAAAGATGAATGTAAGAGATAGTACAAACTGAAAAAGCAGAAGTCAGAACACAGCAAAAAGCTACCCAGTAGAAAATTATACCTTCTAGCAGCGAAAAAAGAAGCTAGATATTTATTGTGAGGGGAGTTCAAAAGAAAAGAGGAAACAGAAATGTCCAGGTAGAATCCTTCCTTCCGTGGTTTGATGCATACACATCTTCACGAATTCATATGTATTATTTAGTAAATAATGTTCACTTGTATGAACAGATTTTTTTCCTGAACCTTATTTGGTGTAGAAACTTAAAGTGTAGAGTATAGCACCACCTTGTGACCAGATTCAGTACTGCAAGTTGAACACTCATGAGCAGGGAATCTGATTCAGAGAACCAGGCTGCTTACTCTTGATCACTACTTTCCCTTGTGGTAGGTTGAGGTGCCCTTGAAGTATCAGAAGACAGATAATCAGACAACTATGTAGGCAATTCTTGGGTTTTGAGTTCTGGGTTATAGATGTGGATAATGTGGAGACTGAAAACAGAGGACTCAGCAAATTTGCATAAGTGATTATGGACAGTGAAAGCACAGTAATACTTTTTCTGGCTCTGTGACAAAATTGCCTTTTAAAAAACAATTATAAGTCCCTTATAGAAACTAAGACTTTCACCAGGTGAGGTGGCATGTGCCTTTAATCCCAGCACTTGGGAGGTAGAGGCAGGTTAATCTCTGTGAGTTCAAGACCTGATTGGTCTACACAGCAAGTTCTAGGGCATACAAGTTTGAACATTAGTTTTGGAGACCCAAAACTAAACATTTGTAGTTTTATTCAATCAGTAAATACAGAACATGGAGATCAATTGAGAGGCATAGAACAAATATTAATTTAAGTTAGCCAAATATTCTAAATAACATTAAATAAAATTTAATGTTGCTTACAAGAGTGACACTTAAAATATAAGGATTGAGAAAGACAGAAAGTCAGATGTTAGAAAAAATGCTTGTCTGTATTATCCAAAGAAAAACTGGCATTGAATCACTACAAAAAAACTGATAATGTTAAGAAACAATATATTAGAGTTTAAGATATATATTTTATAATGTTAAGATGGCCAACATAACAGCAGAGGCTATACCTCAGTCAGTAAAGCACCCAAGGCTCTGGATTTAATCCCTACATAGTACTGAAAAAAAATCAATCTAAGAAGAAAATAGTAAAATTCTTTGTACTTCTATTAACATTGTGTGTTATCCCAATTTCCACTGCTATAAAAAAATTCTTGATCCTAAGTACTTTGTAACAAAAATAGGTTTATTTAGTGCCATTTTAGAAAAGTCCAAGATTAGGTAGCCCCACCACTTTTGCGGGAATGGACTCACGACACATGGAATCATAGCAGCACTTACAAAGATATACATAGGTAACAGAGTAGCCATATGTGTAAAGCAGGAAGCAGCACTATGTGGGTGAGCTATTTTTCACTTTAGCAACAATCCACTTTTATTGGACTAACTGGATTCCCAAAGGAGAATGAGAACTGCCAGGCGAGATGTCAGACATGCATGCTTTTAATTGCAGCACTCCAGAGGCAAAGGCCAACAGATTTCTCTGTGTAGGCCAGACTGCTATACACAGAATTCAGGCCAGCCAAGGCTGCAAAGTGAGACCTTGTCTCCAAAAAACAGAAACAAAAAAAAAATATGAAAAGCACATTAAACCCTTTGAGGGGTAGGGTACTCTGTGAGCTAGTGTATCTCCCTGAGGTTTCACTTCTGAGATGTTCCACCATATTCATTCATCCATTTATCACATGTGTCAAACACACACATGCAGCCTTACAATTACATGTCACAGCATGTATGCAGAGGTTAGAAGATGCCATGCAGAGCATAATTATTTTGTTCTCTAGTTCCATCATGTGGATTATTGAGATGGACCTCAGTTCTTCGGGTTATCAGGGTACCAGACTTGGCAGTCAGCACTTTTACTAGCTGAACTATCTCACTGGCCATAAAAGACTTGTGTACTAGGTTGGTTTAAACATGACAGTGGACAAGAGGTCAAGAATGGACTAGTTGTTAGCCCTCAAGGCTGTGCTATGTGTCTCAGCAGCCATAATCTGCACCAAAGGCCTGGAGGATGGCTGGGAGATATAGGTCTTTAGTTCATGTTGCAAGCAGGAAGGCACCAGGTTCTATTATCAGTGAAGGAAGCAGCAGCTGCAGCAACAGGGTAGATGAAATCACCATTGAGAGTAAAGGCCAAGCCAAGGAAGAACAACTTTTCTTCTCCCACTTCCTTTTATCTGGGCCACTAGCAGAAGATGCTGCCCAAATCTAGGATGCCTCTTCTCACACCTCAACTATTAACAGCCCCCAGTAAGATGCCCACAGTCTGACCTGATCTAGATAATTCCTCATTAAGATTCTCTTTCCAAGTGATTTTAGGTTTTGTGACATTGACGGTTCCAATTAACCATCTGAATAGGGAGCAAATCCCAAAGTGTTTTCAAATCAAAACAATAGAACTTCTTTCTTGGTATGACCAGACACACTTGCAATCTAATCATTTTAGAAATAGATTCAAGATTGCCACAATTTTAAGATCAGATTGATCTACATAGTGAGTTTCAGGCCAGTCATATGACACTATATCTCAAAAAAATCAATGGCAACAATAAAAAAATAAATTGTAAGCAAAAGAAATGATATCCAATAGTGTTGATATATTTAAAATAGTGATGACAAAAACACATGAAAACCTTTGGGAATGAAGCTATGTCTGCACTTATTGGAGAATTCTATATGCTCAATTACATCAAAGAAATCTTGACAAATTCCAATATCTAACTTGTTTTTTAAATACCAAGAGAAGTGTTTTGTTTTTAGCTCTATGCTTGGATTTTAAACTTTTTCTAGCATTAGATAAATTATATTAGAACACTAGATAAAGACAAAGTAAGAAAAAAGATGCTTCACTGGTATCAAACAGTAAAACATACAATGTTTGCCAAAATAATTTTGTTATTTTGTTAGACGGCTGTA